ACTAAGTTTCCAATATTAAGTATATATTTTCAATTAAAACTTTCTATTTTAAAAATTATTTACTTACGGACAGTTAAAACACTTAACTTCACGGTGTGTTTTTGCACTTTTATGCTCTGATGGAAGGTCTTTCTCTTCAAAGAGATTATTAATAAAGAGTTCACTACGCAAACTTCTTTGTTTTCCAAGTTGAGATACTGGTTTAATAAGGTCAATAGTTTTAGACATATTTATATTTTTTATATATATAAGCCACAAACAAAGCTAAAATTTAGCGCGTAAAAAAAAACTTTTTTGTGTGGGAAAAATACGCGACAAATGAAACTAAAATTTAGCGTAAAAAAACTTTTCATGTGGGAAAAAAATACGTATTACATCATCATAACGTCATCTCAGATCACCCGAGTTGTTCTGGGTCAAAGCAACAGTATGACCCTAACCCGACGGGTCAGGTCATGCAGGTTACGGATTATTAAAATTACCAACCCTGATTCGATTTAAAATCTGGGTCAGGTCGATCACCCAGGTCTGACCCGACCCTTTCAGAGCACTAATAGCAATACGTTATTATTAATTTTAAGATCAAATCTATCATTTTTATAATCAAGCAATGACTTTATTAATATATCTAAAAATATTAGTAAAGTATACATTTTATTAATCAGAAGCTTTTTGACCTTTTTTGAAAGATAGTCTTCACTTTTAATTGTGAAAAATATCCCAAAAGAACTTTAGTATTAGATTTATTTCTAATTCAACTAAGAAAATTTTCCAATATCAAGTAGATAGAATATTTACTAGCTTTACCTAAATAGTTATAGATTGTTACATCAGAATATAAAATAATTAATAAAACCTTTACTTTTTTGAAAAGTGAATTTTATACTCTTTCTCACTATTCTCTATTATATTATTTATAATAAATTCTCTAGCCTTTGTAATATAAAGAATTAAATTTAAAGATACAATTATCTTAAATTTTTTTATTACTTAATAATTCCTTTATAATATCAAAATTAGAATAATGAAGATAATATTTTTTTTATATGTCATAATAGGCTTTTTTTAAAGAAAATATATAATTTGATCTAATAATTAACAGTCTTATTTTATTAAAGTGGATAATATTATATTATCATAATAAATTTTACGTGAAAATTTAAGAATATTACTAACATATACATTAGACAAATTCTATTTTATAAGTAATTCTATAAAATTCTCAAACTCTTGATTTGGAAACTCAAGTTTATTTATTATTGAACTAATATTAAGAGTATTAAAAATTGAAATTAGATCAACATTATGTAGTAAATATTTATTAATTATCTTTTATATATAAATATTAATTAACACATATCACAAAGTATAAATTAAATAAATTCTTTACATTGCTAATAATCATTTAGCTTTTTCCTCCTCTTATTTTTATTCTTCATTATTATCTAGAGGTTAGAATCAGTTAATTTTTAACCAGTTAATTAACTAGTTAAAATGGTAAATATATTAATTGGTTAAAGATTTTTAACCGGTTAAAATAGATGAATTTAAATCTGACTAAAATTCAATTTCTAGTCAAAATTAAAATTTTTATAATTGCAAATTATTATTTAACTCTGATCAAATTTATAGTACTAGCTAAAGTTAATTTTAATTGATTAATTAACTGATTAACTAATATTTTAACTGATTATTAACTGGTTAAAAAATTTTCAGATAGTTCTAACCTTTAATATTATTATACCTTTTCATCTCTTTTTCTTGTCCTTTACTATTATCAAATTCTTCTTTTCTTCTTTTTGTTCTTCACTATCATTAATCTTTACTTATTACTCATTGTCATTAAACTTTAAGGTATAGTTATCATCTTGTTATACATCATCATCAAATACTTAATCTTCTTATTATTTTTCACTATCATTAAACTCTTCTTATTACTCACTATTATTAAACTCTGAAACATAATCTTCTTTAACAGTTTTTCTATTTTTTTTATAAATTTTATATAAGACTATATTAATTGTATTATCATAAATTCTTATATGATTTTGTAAGAAAGAATGATAATTAAATACTCTTTCACAATTTGGATAGGTATAGTTTGATATTTTTCAATATTAATTTAATCAAATAAAATAAAATATAAATTGTTATGTGATCTAAGGTATTTAGTAATTGTGAAAATCTTAAATTATTAATGATATTATTGTAACTAAGGTTGCTAGATGAAACTTAGAGATTTTGCAAGTCATTTAAATGGAAAAAGGTAAAATTTAGTAAAATTATATTAAAACCTTATTAAAAAATTTGCAAAATTCTAGAAGAGGTAAACTATATCAAAGCTTATAAAATGTGAAACTATATCAAAACCTTAGTAAAAATTTAGAAAAACTATAGTTTAGACATTTTGCTAAATTTAAATGAATTTAAATAAGCAACTTTAATTATAATTCAACAGATATAATAATGCTATTGCATAAATTATCAGCAAATTGTATTATTTTTTAAATTAAAATTAATTAATGGGATTAAAATATTAAAAATTCTAATACTTATAAATTGTTGATATCATTATTTTATGATACTTGATATTATGGTCATCATATAATAAGATATATCATAATACGAATTGATTAATTAAATTATTATAATATATATTTGCATTATTATATTAATAGATTTATTAAAAGTTATTACAAAGGTTTTGCATAATAATTAAGTTAAATTATATCTTATTCTAATATAAAAAGGTGATTAATATTCTTTTCTTTTTTTTTATAATAAATTCATATACTCGTATAATCAAACTACCATTTTTAACAAATAATGGATTATAAGAAAGATATTAGTACTTTTAATTTCAATATCTTAAAATAACTTATAATTAGATCAGTGGTAAGAAGTATTAAAAAAAGAAAGTGATATAAAAGTTTTTATATTGTTTTATTAAATATATTATTATCTAAAAATATATTATTATTAAAAAATATAGGATCAACTGATGCTCTACAATTAGAAACATAACTAATTAATGTCTTATAATTAGCAATACAAAAAAAGGTAAAAATCAGAAAAATTGACTTGTTTAATAATATTACTAAAGAAACATCATCTCAAGTAACAGTGATTACTTTTTATTATTTATCATTTAATTATTATTATAATTTATTAGCTTTTAAATATATTGATTATGTTTATTGAAGGTATCTTCATCAAAATTCCCTTCTCTTTCTACTGTAAAAATTGAAATAATGTCAGCTATTTTACCATTAATCGTATTATTATCATCTGGTAAAGTAGTAATACTATCATTATCTTATAGACCTGTAATATTATCATAATCTGATAAAACAGTAACATTTTTATCATCTTGTAAACTATTTATATTATCATCATCTGGTAAAGTAATAACATCTTCATCATTTTGTAAATCAGTAACAATATCATTATCTAGTAAAGTAGTAATATTATTGTCATCTTGTAAATTATTAATGACACTATTGTCATTAAAGATGGTCCCCATAATTATTTTCAAATTTTAATTGAGTTGCAACTTAATTGTGCCATAAGGAAATTTAATTGCGCCACAAGTTGCAACTCAATTACGCCATTTTTTTCAATTGCGGTGACCATCTTTAATTGTCATTTAATAAAGCAATAATGCCAATGCTATTTAGTAAAAATCCATCTAGTAGAGGGTAGTGGTAATACCACCATTATTTTATAAGATATTTAATGGTAAATTATCAGCGAAATCATTATCATCATCAATTTTACCTAAAGAATTATCTTCAAAATTATCATTATCAATCCTATTATCAAGAGTAGTCATAAGTTAAATAATGTTAATAATTAAGTTATCTGATAAAAAAATAGTATCAAAAAATGTTATTAATAATAGATTATTTATGTGAACTAGATAAGTTAATTCAATTTATTCAAAATAATGCATTAAAGTTTAATACTATATAGAATAAATAGGAATATTTTAAAATCATGATAAATGAAAAAAGTAGCAAGTTTCAGATTTAAAGTTAAAGGTAAAATATTATATAATAGAAGTAAAAATTATTAAATCAAAAGGAAAAAAAGAAAGACAAAAGCATAAAAATAAAATTTTATTATGTATATATATATGATATTATAATTATCAATATTTTATATTATAGTTTTATATTATTTTTAATATTGATGATAATCATATTACAAGATGTAATAAAAAACTTTCACATAAATTATTTCATGAACATCAATATCCAAGGATCAGAAATTGAAAAAAATGACTAAAAAAATAAGTTAAAGGATAACAAATATTATGCTAGTCAATTTTATAAATTAAATGATAAGAGATTTTTTTTGATTAGCTCTAAAGAGATAAATTATATTCATCTGTAAAGTATAGTAATATTTTATTTATTTAATACTATAATTCATTAACAAATTATTTAACATATCAATATATAACTGCTTATAGCCAACCATATAAAAAAAAATATTATGTTAAGCATTTAAAGGATATATTGTAGAGTATATTGTTAATATTACTCTTCCTTCAAATAAGTTAATGATGACTTAAAGTCAGAGAAGCAATAGCTATAACTTAAATTCAATCAATTTGATACGCTATTTATTAAAGAGTTTATTTAGTTAATAAGAATAAAATTATAAGTTTTATGTTTGTAAATTGTTAATGTTATTTATTATTGATATTTAATATATATTGAATATAAAGTTAGGATCTGTTCTTTTTCTAAGGTATTTTCATGCACTTTAAATAGAAAAATTATAATTAAAGAAAATCTATGGTATTAATAATACTATTGACAATAATAACAGAGCTAACAGATATACTAATTATGTTAAATATAAAATAAATAATAATAATGATAGATACGATAAAAATAATATTAATAATATATATGCTTAGTATTCTGAAAGAGTCAGGTCAAATCTGGGTTATTTGACCTAACTCATGTTTAAAATCCAAATCAAGTTTATCATTATTTGACATGAGTCCTATATTCAACCTGACCTGTCAGGTTAAGGTTATATCTTTGCTTGATCTGGATTGACCTCAGATTGATTCAGGTTTAATCAATATTTTAATGATCTTAGATATAAAATGTTTATATTACATGATTTTTAATTTTTAACTTTATTTGTGATTTGTGTATGAAAATAAGTGAGGCTGAGAAAACAATTCTTAGAAAGTGCTCTTCTTTAAGAAGTGAATTTTTTACTAAAGAACTTTTTAAAGAAAAAAAACTTTCACAAAAATACAAAAATGCAAAAACTCATCGAATGGTTAAGTGCTTAAATTACCCATAAGTATTTTAGAAAAAAAATAAAAATTTGCTTAAATATTTATAAGCATTTTTATAAAAAAATTAATTATAAATCTAATCTCTTAAAATTTTAGGGATAAAACATGGGTTTGCAAGATTGGTGATTCCAATATAACAAATCTTTAGCATTATTTAGAACATAATCATCTGGAGAAAAATCCAAAAAAAGCAAAGAATTTAATGGTTGAAACCTAAAGCACATTGGATGAGTTTGTAAACTATACAACAATTCCATCTAAGGTATGTTAATAAATAATACATAAAATGGAAGATATAAATATTAAAAATAGTTTTTTTTTAAGTTTACACAAAAAGGTTTTCGTAAGTTCATTACTAAATAGGTAATCGATGATGATTAACTATTTATAATATTAGAAAATAAATATTTTCAAAAGATGATAAAAATATTAAATTTAGATGCACTGGTTTCATCAACAGATACAATAAAAAAATGATATATTAGAAAGTTTTAAAGTGAAACAAAAAAAAATGAGTAAATTGTTTCAGATAATTTAAATATATATATAAATTTTTTCTTTAAAAATTTTTATTTTATTTTATTAAGTAATTTATCTATTTAATAGAGTACACCTAGGAGAATTTCTTTTACAATTGATTCATAGACATCAATGAATGGTTATTCCTTTTTAGCTATAATAATATACTGGATTACTAAAGATTGAAGACTTCAGGATAAATTGCTAGATTTTATAGATCTTTCTGATTCTCATTTAAGTAAAAATCTCTGTAATGCTTTCGTAAAAAGTTATCATAAGTTTGGAATTTTAGAAAAGGTAAATAAATATTTTTTTATTTTTTTTTTTTAATTTTTTATTTTATTTTTATTTTATTTTTTAATTTTTGTTTATTTTTTATTTTGTTTTTTACTTTATTTTTATTTTTATTTTTCTTTAATTTTTTTTAATTATTTTATTTTTTTAACTCTTTATTTTTTTTTAATTGTTTTATTTTTATATTTATACAAACTTAAAATATAACTAATAAAATCATTGTAACTTTAACAGATTTTTGCAGTTACTAGTGATAATACTTCAAATAATATTACCTTTATAGAATGTTTAGAAAATACTTGTCAAATGGAAAATATTTTCTTTGATGCTATTAATTCCTATTGTCAATACCTTGCTCATATAATAAATTTAGTTGTACAAGAAATCTTATAACAAGTTAAAGCTGGTGAAGCACAAATTGAAAATGATATCATGAATAATATAAATTTAACTATAAATGCTAGAGAAATAATTTCTAAAGTAGGTTAATTTTTCATATTTCTTTAAATTTTAAATTATTATAATACTAATTTATATTATAATTAGCTTCGTAAGCTTATAGTAAAAATAAAATCATCACCATAATGCAAAAAAAGTTTGCATATCATGCTGAAGCTGCCAATCTTAAAAAGTTTAACCTTATCTTAGATATTAGAATACAATAGAATTCTACATTTAATATGCTTAATCGTGCATTTGTGATGCAAGAGGTTAGAGTATTTATCATATTATATATATTTGCTTTTTTATTATATTAATATAATAATATATTTTTATATTATAGGCAATAAATGCAATAGCAAATTCAGATAAAGATTTCAAAAATTTTAAAATTACTGATGATGAATATGATAAAATAAAAGAGATTATTTCTGTTTTGAAAGTAAGAAAGTTAACAAATAAAAATAAGTTTTTTGATAAATTTAATCCTTATAATTAATTAAAAAAATTTTATTTTATATTAAATAGATATTTATACAAACTATTAAAATACTTTTATCTACAAAATATCCTATGCTTTCTTCTTCCATACTAATATATAATTATTTAATAGATGGACTTGAAGTATATTGTGAAAATTTAGATAGTTCTAACACTAGTCAAAATAGTCCAAATCAGCTAAAAATCAGATACCGATTTTAGGCTGATTTTGATACTATTTACAGCTAATTTGCCATATTTTCTGATCAACACAAATAGGTGCTGATAAACGCTGATCGATCCCAATTGGACATGGCTATTCAAAACTTAAATTTAACCATAAATCAGCCTAAAACTAGCCTCAATTTAGCAATAATTTAGACGCTGATAGATGCTGATCAATATAGCTATTCAGCCTACAATTAATCTTAATTCAGCATCATTCAGCATTAATTCAAAACTTAAATAACATAAATTGGCTTAAATTGACTTCAATTCAGCATCTTTCAGCATCAATTTGAAACTTAAATAACGATAAATCAGCTTAAAATTGATCTCAATTCAGTATCATTTAGCATCAATTCAGAATTTAAATAACCATAAATTAGCCTAAAATTAGTCTCAATTTGGTATCAATTCAGTCAAATAAGTATATAAAATCGATATATTATATTATTAAATTTATTAAATATTATAATTTTATTAATAATAAAACCTAATATAATTCGCAAAAAATATAATATAAATATTACCAAAACTCACTGATTAATTTCCTATCTAAAAAATATAAGTAAAAAAGAAAAACCATGTAAAATAATAAAAAAAATAATACATTTTCCTCCTAAAATCCCCTTAAATTGTCCTAAATATTTATTATAGTAATATTGCTATTTTCAAAAAAAAAGAATAAAAAATCAGGAAAATCAGAAAAATTTAACTTAAGTTTCATCCGATTGGAGGCATGTTTCTATCATAAAAAGCCAAAAAATCAGAAAAATTTAACTTAAATTTTTGTCTAATTTGATGGTTGAAGGCATATTTCTATTATAAAAAGTAAAAAAATCAGAAAAATCAACTAAAATTCAATATAATTTTTGTCCAATTTGATAATTAAAGGCATGTTTCTATTATAAAAAGTAAAAAAATCAGAAAATTTCAACTTAAGTTTCATCCGATTTGATGGTTAGAGGCATGTTTCTATTATTAAAAGTAAAAAAATCAGAAAAATTCAACTTAAGTTTCATCTGATTAGAGGCATGTTTCTATTATAAAAAGTAAAAAAATCAGAAAATTCAACTTAATTTTTGTCCAATTGGAAGCATATTTCTATTATAAAAAGCAAAAAAATCAGAAATATTCAACTTAATTTTCATTTGATTTGATAGTTAGAGGTATATTTCTATTATAAAAAGCAAAAAAATCAGAAAATTCAACTTAATTTTCATCTGATTTGATGGTTAGAGGCATGTTTCTATTATAAAAAGTAAAAAAAATCAGTTCTTTTTTGAAAAGTTAATTAAAATACAGCTTTTTCTTTATCTGATTTTGATAGTTGAAGGCAAAAATTAACTAAAATTCAACTTAAGTCTTTTTGTTCTTAGAACAAATTTTTTTGGGATTTTGGTGAAATGTAAAAAGAGAAAATTTGGAAATGATTGAAATTATTTTTTAAAAAGTTAAAAAATTAAGTTTATTTATATAAATATTTTTATATACTAGAAATAAACTTAAATAGTACATTAAATCAATATTATTTTAGCAAATTGGTTTAATGC